TGAAAATTGTGTGAACCAGACCCCACTCCTGAAACTGCTTGGTAAGATGAATGAGGGAGTCTGCCAGCTAGTTGTCCTCTCTAGAGACATGAATGGTTACTGAATATATCCAAGCTGTCTGTTTCTAATGCCCATGTATTTAGTGGTTGTCTGCTTTTTGTAGAAGTTCTCCATAAGCTTGTCAGTTTTGGTACTGAAGAGGCCCTCTACATCAAAGAGAAGGTCTTTGATGCAAGCTTTGAAGTGATCTGAAATATTACAGGAGCACAGCCACATATGCCTTCACAAAGTCACAATACAGCCATAACCTTAGCTGAGCTTCTGCCATATGGCAGGAAAAATGAATTTGGTGTGCAGTGAGATTGTGCGCTTCTTACTGCAAGGTAGCTGCTGAGGGCTTTCTGTCCTCTAGTAAACTGTCCAAAATAAGTTGCAATTTTTCCCAGATTTATTGGTGGTATGCTCCCACACTAGCCTATTAGTTAGCAGTTCTAATGCCTAGTGCAGCTGTAAAATAAATCCTACATCTCAACAAGTCCAGTTTACAGCCCTCTTTGTTTGAGGGGATGGGGACAGAGTGTGATTGTGTTTTAGATGGAGTGGTTTCTACAGTTATTGAATGAAATTGGGGGTGCTTAAAAAGAAAAGTCACCCTTTTCCCTTGTACCTTGTAGAAATTCTCAGTCCTCTGTGAAGTTGGTGGAATGGAGCATGGTTTCTCCCAGGAGTGTTTTATAAGAGTGGTAAAGATTGGGACGTGATGGCACGTGGGTCAAACCGCAGAAGCCTCTGTGCTCCAACGTCAGAAGACCAGAAGTCCTAAGATCAAATCCACGTGATAGTGAGCTCCCATCACTTGTACCAGCTCCTGCCAGTCTAGCAGTTCGAAAGCATGCAAATTTAAGTAGATAAATAGGTACCAACACGGTGGGAAGGTAACGGCATTCTGTGTCTGGTCGCGCTGGCCACGTGACCACGGAAACTGTATTTGGTCAAATGCTGGCTCTACGGCTTGGAAACAGGGATGAACACCGCGCCCTAGAGTCAGACACGAATGGACTAAACATCAAGGGGAACCTTTACCTTTACCAAAGATTGGGAGTATGGAAAGTTGTACTGGGGTTGTAATGTTTATGTTCACTTTTAACAACAAGGAGGAGGTTTCTTCACTGCAATGTGTAGACTTTGGGCCATACGGACGATGCAAGAGTGCAAGTCCTCTGAGAGAGAGAATGGGGAAGTGTCCCCCTTGTTAAGAGTATAAAGAGGACAATAACTGAGACAGAGGTTCTGGAAGTGAGTGATGAACATTCACCAACTCTGAGTCAGATCCCAATTGCTGTAGGGAAATTTTTTTTTTGGGAGAACAGTTCCAAGTGAGTTGTCTGTTGTGGGAGCTGCAAGGACTTAGCTGATGAATAGCCCTGTTTTTGTATCAATAACTGCATCAATTCCATAGCTGGCTACTGATCTGTAGGTACTGAGACTGAGGTCAATGGCTTCTTTTTTACTGTTGGGGGATGACACCAATCCAGACACTGACCTCAATATTTGCTGATGTTGGGCAGGCAATATGGAATCCTTGTGGTAGATCAGGTAGACCTTGCCCAATAGGCTCTGCATTCATCCAGAAGTGAGTGAGGAGTGGCCCAGTTGTAACCTCTAAAGAATGGTGTGGAGGTAGAAGAAAGGCAGAACAAAACCATGTTCCATGGTTAGTATCAAGAAGTTAGTATCAAGAGTTCACTGAATATTATGATGTCTGTGAGGAGTTGGTGACTGCATGGACCTTCTCAGAGTTGGGGATCAATATTGGTGCTGTGATTGAAACAGTAGAGATGATGACAGAAATCTCAATTTCTACTATGAATGTCTGTGTTTCCATCTCCTAGACAGAATGTGTTGTGGTGGGATAGGTAGTGATGGCTCTATCAATACTTGCCAGACCAACTCACTGAAGAACACTGTGGTGTATGCAGTGTGACAAAGGGAGGTGATCCCACTAACACTCCCTTAGGGTCAGAGACCAATACCAGACACATAATATCCCCACCCTCCTAATTTGAAAGGGTTTAGAATTCATCCAACAAGGAGGCTTTATCCCTTGCTGATGTTCCAGTTTGAAGATCAGGTGGTTGAGGCTTAGAACAAGAAGGTGTATCATGGCATTTGTCTCTTTTTTGGTCTTTTTAGATTTGTCTTGTTTTTCACTGGTTGACTTCTTTCATTTCACTGAGGCGATTCCGAAGAAGCCTTTGATACCAACATTGAAGTTGGTGCCAAAACCAAAGTAGATTCTGCAGTCAACAGATTGTCCAAGGTTGGAATATTTATGTTTTTCAGGGGCTCTGTTGCTCTAAAGAATTCTGTACTGCTTGCAGGCTCTCTAGCAGTAGAGGGCCTGAGTTTATGGATTTCCCAGACTTTTCCCAGAGATAAGATTGCAGCATGGTGAGGCAATTTTTCAGAGTGACGTGGGTAAAGCCGTTACAAATTTTAGATTTTTGTGTAATGCATCTCTTACCTAGAAAAAACAGGCATTTATTATGTCCATCAGTTTGTGTCTCACAAACAACACACTTCTTAAAAAGTTCTCTGGAAGCCATAAAATTGTGGTGGGAAACAGAAGAAGTTTAAAAATGTTAAAATAACACTAATACTGTTTTTTTAAAACAAGGTTGGAGGAAGAGGAGAAAGTAGAAGAGGCAATGAACTACTTACAGTTCAAAGAATTATAGAATTCTAGGTAAGCAAGCCTACAGTGAGATGCTGCTTGTGCAGTGGACAGAGGGTGACTAGGTGAGAGCCGCTAGGGTGTGCCTAGCTATGTACAGTGGTGCTGGGGGAGGGAAAAATGCTTCTCCCCAGGTTCTAGAAAGTTCCAAGGCCGCTTTCTGCACTGAACCCGTATGTATGATTCATTAAGACCACAATGAAGAACTGCCTTTTACCAAGTCAGCATAAAGCCACTGTCTACACTGACTCACAAGGGTTCTCCAGACTTCCAGATTCGTAGTCCTTCCTGGAACTGCCCAGGAATGAAACTGGGGCATTCTTCATGCAAGTTATGTAGAATGCCTCAGAATTAAACTCCCCCTCCATTGTCTTACACAAAAACCAAACTCCTATTGGCAATTTATGCTTTTGAAAGAGAAACTGTGTAAGCTGTGGACTCATTAATGAAGTCCAGTTGGGGACCTGAGTAGGCTCAGGAGAGAGTTATAAATAAGGTGAGAGAGATAAATATACACCAAGATATTAATTCTAATAGCATTCAAGACCTCAAATTGAACTAGATATGTATGTGACTACAAAGGAAATGGATACCTCCCAGTTTTTACTTTTTACAGATGGAGAAATGGAAATATCAACAGGTCAGGATTTCACTAACATTCCATAAAGAATTTAAGTTGGACATAGGACCATGTCAAGGTCCGATGAAGCCTGTTTCATGCACAAAATAATTTTTAATTGCAAAATGTCAGTTATTTTCTCATTTTCTTCTTCCCAAAGACTGAAAGTTAAATAGTAGCAATTTGCTCGTGCACTCACATACACACTTTTCTCTCAGGAGACTCTCTGTATCCTGTGGAGAACTCCCAATGCTCTGGAAAACCAACCTGAATGGTAGCTAACTTGACTGAGGCATCTTCTATTTGCCATGTGCGGTGAGGTATGAGCCCCCAGGTTATCATTAACCTTATTTTCTATTTCTGGCATCTCTAACTTCCCTTCTGCTTTTCCTGTAGCCAAGCCACGTGCATACAGCTATAGACCTATTTCTGCTGCCTTCTAATGGAACAGGTTGGTCACATGCTGTTGTCACCTACCCACATATCACTGCCCCCACCTCTGAGGTCTGAAACAGATTCTTCTGAAAGATGGAACATAATTCTCTATCCTGTGTCACCACCCATGCTATTTGACATGTTTTACACTAAATTCTCAATTTGTCAGTTTTGACGAAGATCTGTAACTTTCTCATTAGAACACACTGCAGCTAAGTAGCCCAGGGAAAAAAAGCTACAGAAACAAGGAGGTTAGGTGGGATTTTTCTACTAGCACTCCCTGTACTCAAGAAGGCGGTGTCCATTAATCCCAGCTCCTTCTCCTGTGTTAGCCTTAGCCTTTTTTTGTTGTTGGCAGCAGCAAAAAGCAGAATCAAAAAGACAACACAAAAACAGAGTGATTAATTCACCTGCTTTGCCAATTTGTGTGGTACATACTGGATAACGCCTGAAGGAGAGGCCTGCTCATCATACCTATACAAAATGTCCATCACACTGCAGAGGAAAGTGAGGAAGAGAAACCCTCCTCACACATTATAAATAAAGTAGGAAAGTAGGATGAAAGTAGTCACTCAAACATCACTTTATCTATTTCACTCCACCACCTAGAGTCATCCTCAGGTAGACACAGCATACTACAGAAACAGTATATCTGTCATTATGGATTCCCCTTTTACCAACATATCTCTCATCATCATAAGTTCTAACACAGAACTGGATTTGCAAAGTCAAATATGGAAATGGAGTGGGAAATGGAATCTGGATCTGCAGGTTGGTGCCATGTAAAGGCTATTTCTAAATCAGCATTCTTTACCAAATCTAAATAAAAGCAGAATGCTAGCATGTACAGTACACATCCCCAGAGAATTTTTGCCATCCTCTTGTACTGTTCTAAAATGAAACAATTAGCAGGTTGTGGACCAAGTGAATACTTTGATATGCCACAATATGTTAAGTTCCACATAATTCCCAAGATCATCTTTGTAACTAAGATACAAGATGCATCTCAGATATGGGTACTCATGGCTGCCTAGCAACCATCCCTCAACTCTTCAGAGCACATCTTCTAACAAAAATAGCTTTGGCATCAATTTTGTTATATGCCTTCTAACTTTAGTACTTAAAATAGAGTGGCATACTATGAAAAGTGATATTATGGAGAAGCTGTGTGTATTCCCCAAGACTGTACATAAATCCTAGGCTAAGCTTTACCTTCCAGGTAGCTGTGTTTCTCCTGAAATAGGCAAACATCCGTGTGAACCAATTGTAGATTTCATTCAATGTTAGCTGCCTGTCGGGTGTCTCAAGGATAGCCTGCATTTAAACAAGACAAAAAGTTAACTGCCAGATGTCAGCCAAATAGCTTTTTGCAGATGTACAATTACAAGGATATGTGGGAAAATTCTGCAAACAATTAGTGTATGTGTAGCACCTTTCAACTACACATTAAAAAGCTGAATTTAGGGCAAGTCAACATATTTATGCTCTGGAGCAGAGGACTGTGATATCAGGTGAAAAATGGAAGGCGTGAAAGAACAGACAATACAACATTGCCCTGGTAACATTACAGCAATACACCTTCGTGGAACCAACAAAAATCAAACTGAATAATAAGACACTGAGAGTAATGCCCAGGCATGTATGAACTAGTTCCAATATAGTCTCAACTTAAAGGTACAAGAGAATCCTGAGAGACTTCAAGGAAATTACATCAAGGTTATAAACCAAGATAGTAAAAGCCAGATATGCATTATGGATTGAACAGGCACTTCAATTAATTAATTGAAAAAGGAAGTGAAGAAGCTTAACCCTGTCTGGAAACTAAACTCACAATTTAGTGCACCCATTTTAGGATAGATGCACTGCAACAAGTGTGAAATGCTGTCTTTACTCAAGAGGTCTACATTCTCAGCTACAGCTTCTGGTATAGAGATACACAGTCCTTGGTAATGGCCACATAAACTTTATGTCAGAAACTGTTGTAACATATTAGAACCTAATACATCAGATTCCCAAGTGACCAAAAACTAGTTTTCCTTCTGCCCCACTCATCAGTGACCAAGTCACATTCACCTGGTTGTAAAATGCAACAATTGCTTAGGTATGGGGACTATATTACAGTTTTCGTCATTTAGAGGCCCCTCATATCTCCATAGATAGATGCAGTTGCATCTACAGAATATGGCAGCACACTATAACATATTTTTATGTAGCAGAAAATATCCTCAAGCCAATGCACGAATACCCTGCGTCACATTTTGTAGACTTGGCTGTTCAGAAAAAAAACCCCAGTAATTACTAGCTCAACAAAATCACTGAACTAGAACACTTTGCCCATCTTTCAACTAACTTGGGGGAAAACATTAGGTTACGGTGAGAACATGTTAATGCATGGAAATAACCAAGATGCAGGGGAATAGAATGACTGATTGAGGAAAATGTAACAACCATTGCTCCAAACCAGGAATTGTACTGGATCAGATTAGCTAGAATTGAATTTGAATTCTGTGATTCTCATCTCAGTTATGCAGATCAAGGGCAACTGAATGAAATGGTCCTTTCTTTCTTTCTTTCTTTCATCCTTATCCCATATCTCTGGCATCAAAAGGGCAACAGAGAACAGGCCAGGTCTTTCATTTGTTAACCTGACTCAGACTATGCACCAAGCACCATGTGCAATCACATTTACAAAAATATAAACTCAGTAATGAAAAGGTATCATTAGATGTTTAAAGAAGTGGAATATGATTAAGCAGGAGCTGGCAACTTCCCACGGTTGAGGGCCACACTGAACCATATTGAATCTAGTGGGGCATACCACTCCCAAATATGCTGCCACTGTCACACCACAGAAATTTAGTGGCTGTGATTAATTCTGCTACGATTCTATTTGCCATTAAAATTCAAGTATGTAAGATTGTGAACCGCATGAGGATGGTAAATTAGTCTTTTAGAAAAATGAGTAGAAATTGTGTAATTTCAGTGAATCCGTTTATAATAAAATAACAGCAGATTGCAGACAAAAATATCACAGTGGTGACTGTCAGTTTAAATAGTTTTAGAAACATTTAAAATGTTAAGACAAATCTATGGAAGCCAAATGATAGTTAGTCACAGCAGCTAAAAAGAAAGCTCTAACTCAGACATAATACACGTCCAATTACTTGCTAGCAATGAGGGGTAATAGTCACTATGCCTCATTTGTGATTATTAGCCTAAACCTAGCTGGACAGTGGGCCATACAGTCATTTGATCTGACTGGGCGCTTTTATAACCATCACTGCATACACTCAGAACCTGGGAAGGGAGAGATGAGAAATTATCTTGAGTATATTCCCACACTATGGCTTGATTAAGGAATGTGTGTGACAAGTTTGGGTCTGAACATAACTAGTTCTTGAATCGCAGAAGCCACTCTAATTCAGTCTTGTTGTCTGGAATTTAAAAGGCAAATAGGCGATATAAATGATTGTATTAATAAGTCTCCTCTTAAGGATATATCTACATGCAGAATAAAGGCATGCTTTTAACCAGAAGAGAACAAGCCTGTAGGACATGGTCTCTGAAGACTACTATAGCCTCTAGTCCATGCTGCAGCAACTACTTCAATTCACCAGGGAAAGGAGATGGTTATACAATACAGTACCACGAAGGAGCAATAGAAGCCATTCACCTCAGAGAATTTAGCTTTTGTCAAAGATGTGCTGTTGGCAGCTCTGGAGACAGAAGGTTGCAGTTCATCCAAGAAACTGTGACATATACAAAAAATCCACCTGCTGTGCCTGAAAGCTATGGCTGAAAGGTATTTTCAGTTGTTATGGTCCACTAGGAATGGTATTTATGAACTCTACTACTTATACTCTAACACACAAATATAACTACTTATGTTATACCATCAGGAACAAAGCAGTACAGGAAGAACCCCCTGTTAACATTACTCCCTTCCTCATGTAAATGGGGTATTTAAAATGTGTGCCAGTCTGAAGCCGGTGACTTATAGAGAAAGGCTATTTTAATCCCCACAAAGATTCCACTAATCAGGAAATAGTGTTGGTAAAATAAACCTCTTCATGAAAACTTCAGTTAATAGGCACAAGGTTAGTAATTTTGCAGAAATGATTTCAGTATTATTTATACTGCTGAGTAGGCTTTGAAAATCCCAAAAGATAGTCACACAGAGCTTGAGTGCAAGTTCAGCATATCATATTTCTGAAAACTCTCTTCAGCACCACCCCCTGTATTTTTTGGTTAATGCATCATTCAGCTAGGGGACTACATAACCTCCATGTCAGAGCAGCTATAATACAGATGCTGATAAAAATCACTGCTGAGAGGAAATCATGTAGCTCTTCATCTAGTCTTGCAAAGGAGGACAAAGCCAATGGCTGAAATCCTGTTGCTTAGTGCAGTAAGTCACACTAGAGTAGGCCCACTGAATCAGTGGGGATTTGATGAGCCAACTCCTTTGTAAGTTCCATTGATTCATATAAGCTTATTCTACTTGTGACTTACTATGCAATGCAACAGGATTTTAGTTTTTATGTCATAATGATGCCCTTTCTCAACTTGGTACTCTTCAGATGTTGTGGACCTCAAGTTCCATTAGCCTCAGCAATATAGTGAAATGTCAGTGAGATGCTGGAAAATGTAGTCAAAAACATCCAGAGGGCACTAGGTTGTGGATGGCTGTTGTAAAGTTAGGGAGCAACAAGATACACAAACGTGGACCTTCACATCTCTGTATGCATCAAAGGTCAGATAAAAAGAGAAATAATGTACACCTGTCATCCTTTTATCTTCACTAGTATTATGCTTTGTGTTGATTTTAAGAGGTACAGCAGATACAGAGTGAAACACAAAAAGAGTACATATGGATATGTAAAACCAGAGAGATTCTGTAGAACAGCAAATACACAATTCCATGTTTCAAAACAGCGATAATTTTACCTCAACCACTGATCCAAACTGCACTTCACAGGGTCAGGAAAAAGAAGCAAAATTCAATAATTTATTACTGGCAACCACATCTGTTTGCCACAAAAAGCATTCAAGATAAGCATGAACAATGGCTCTAAGCCAGTGGTTCTCAACTTTAGGTAACCAAGGTGTTCTTGAACTGCAAATCCCAGAAGCCTTCATCACTAGCTGTGCTGGCCAGGTTTTCTGGGAGTTGCAGCCCAAGAACACCTGGATTACACAGGACTGGGAACTACTGCTCTTGCACCTCTCCCAAAAACTCTTGTACCTCTCCCAAAAACAATGAACTGCTCACCTGTCGAATAAGTGAGGCATATGTGAAGGGGGGGCGGACATCTGCATTTTTGTAAAACTCGTGATTCTGTGCAAGTTCTAGGAGGGAGAAAGAAAGTTATGAATAAAAGCAAGGCAATATACAGCTAAGCACAATTTGAACAAAGCATGTGTTGCAGCTGTCACTTCCCCAGCTACTCTCACCTGAGGAAATTGGTGTGCAGAACTTCTCTGAGTTCCTTCTGCGAATGGGCCCTACATTGTGTAAAGTGGATGAGCTGATGACAGAAGGACCCTGCCGTAATGGAGTAATGGGTGCAGTTGCAGAGGTGGGGGGATGAGGTAATCCATCAGGGAAGGTGTCAGAAGTGCTCTTGGAGAGGGTAGCACTGGAAACCAGATTAAGCTGCTCAAAGAGGATGAAAAAACATACATGGTTAAAATCAGCTCAAAGCCACAGGCGTGCAGAGAAAAGTTCATTTGGATAAAGCATTTGAGTAACTGTGGCTTCCTTATCAATAAAGATGGCTGAAAAAATTCACTTAAGAGAACCATATTTCCACTTAAGCTCTCTGCAGCAGACTAATACATGCATCCTGTTATGGACCTGTGACCAATTGGACTGAATTCCATCACACTATACAAAGCTGTATCTTCAAACCCTTTATCATTTAAAAGAACTATGCAGACATGCAGCACAATATTGCATCTCCTCCAACAAAAGTTCAAAACGAAACTCATAATGCTTGTTGCTATTAGGGTAAATGTTTTTTAAACAACAAAGAAGCTAAACCTTCAAAGGAATAATGTTCAGTGATGGTAAGCCAATTCCACCATGCTGTAAGGGTTGTTCAGCAATGATAGTCACAGAGTGGAGTGGGGAACATATGTTATAAGACAGTAGGCTGTCCACATGTGGTCCATGTTTATGCATGTGTGCTGAGAACCAAGTACAGTGGAGTCTCTACTTAAGAACTTAATCCGTATTGGAAGATGGTTCTCAAGTTGAAAAGTTCTTATGAATCTGCATTTCCCATAGGAATGCATTGAAAACCATTTAATCCGTATCTGCTCTTTTCCGTTCATAGAAACCACAGTGGAACCTCTACTTAAGAACTTAATCGGTTTTGGAAGGGTGTTCTTAAGTTGAAACGTTCTTAAGTTGAAGCAAAATTTCCCATAGGAATGGACTGAAAACCAATTAATCCGTTCTGGCTGTTTTTTTGTTATGTAGAGGTGTGTTCGTACATTGAAGCATTAGTTCCCATAGGAACTAATGCAAAGCTGGTTAATACGTACTCTACCACTAGGGGGAGATTTTTTTTAAGCTAAGATGACCTAAGTTTTAAAAAATAGCAGGAAAGGTTTTTTTTCCTGTTCTTATCTTGGATTTCTGTTCTCAAGCAGAAGCAAAATTTAGCAAATGGAGCTGTTCTTAAGTTGGATTGTTCTTACGTAGGGACGTTCTTAAGTAGAGACCCCACTGTATTCATATGCATTAAATCCCACTGAGCTTGTGGCTGGGGCAAAATCTGATCAAAGGACATTTTGGCCAACAGTATCTTCTTTTAGTAACCGTGATATCACTTTCTATGGAATTGCCTAAACCGTAACCTAGATGCAATAAATTATTTCCTCTTCATTGCAAGAAGATGGCCATCGTCTTTGGGTTTCATTTAAAATAGAATTTATAACACTGCCACAGATGTGTCAGCAGAATATTTAATTAATTGCATGTCATATTTAAAACAGGTTCTCTAAGCAACATATAATTACTGTACAATACAGTACAGTACAATCAAATACAAGCTAAAACTAACACACAAAACCCAACTCAAATTCTGACATAAATACAAAAATTAAAATTTTAAAATACGATGCAAATTTAACCTGCTAAAACACTATAAAAAGAGGTATTCAAACTAGCCAAGAAATTAAAACAGGAATTAAAACTATCACCATGTAACAGGGATATAAATAGCAAATATTTGAAACCTTGTGGTTTCAGTGAAGAAGCTGTAACCTGGCAATGGAAAAAACACAATGTTGGTGGCAAGCAAAAATCTCTGGGGACTAATTCCATGGTGGTGGTGATGATACTAAGAATGTTCCTTCTAGCAGCCACGCTCTAACAGTGAGAATATTAGGACACTCAGAGAAAGGCCTCTGTAGACAAAAGTAGGCAGGGATGAGCACAAAAAGGATGGAGGGTTTTCTCAGGCTCCAAGCCATCACAAACTTTTTCGAAACGAAATGAAACAAAATGAAAAAGACAACTTGTATAGGCAAACCCTAGCCAAGTGAATTCGAGCTGGTATAATCACAATATATGGTGCAATGAAACCTCCAATGGCCACAGCCTTATGTTTCATTTGATAAGAGCAAGGATCACATCTGTAGCTTTTTGGCCAGTGTCTCCCTAGCAGAAATCTTCAGGATGGCCGCATGGAACACACCTTTGGTTTTATCTCTCATTACAAAATAGATGATAGGATTTATCCACTGTAGTGGATTTCTCCTCTGTATTACTCAGAGCAGGGCAGGATATAAATGTTTTATTAAAATAAATACATGCACGATTCTAGTGCAGTGAACAGCTAAGTTTTATTCATGCCCTTCCTCAAATTTCAACCACAGGAAGGACTTTCAAAACCATGATGGGGGCTATTGTGGAAAGACAAGGGAAACAAATTAAGTATTTTTCTTAATGATATTCTTCCATCAGAGTCACAGGCTGATGCACACTAAGATCTCAGAAAAGCATAGACCAAGCATGTCACCAGTTGGTTTTCCTGATAGGTGTATGTCTCAAATATCATGGAATAGCTGATAAAACAGTGGAGAATGGATCAGGAAGGTGCCAGTGCTGAACCTTATACTGCAGGCAACTTCAGAGTAGGTTTGTATCTGGTTTTATTTCAAGATCCCGTTTCAGCACTTCCAAATCCCAAGCAAGCAGAGCTTTTCAGTTTTTTCTTTCCATACCAGTCCATGTGTCTGGCACTAATCTTTGTAATGGATGTTTTTTCCCCAGGCTCAACAATTCTAGCATGATTATGGCATAAGCACAACCTGTCTTATCCTAGTCCATTGTCTTCACTATTTCTGTGCCCCATCTTTGCTGTCCTTCCACAAGCAGGCAAAGACCTTTCTCTTCAGGCAAGCCTTCCCTCAGCAATTAGGTACCTGTGTGTGATTTTTAGAGGGACTGTTATTGTGTTTTTCATTTTTGGGTTCTCCATTTCTCAGAGTGACTTTTGTTTTCTTTTTAATATTTGCATACATATTATTCCTAGCTTTAATGTTGTCTTTTAATGGTGCAAGATTTCTCTTTATACTAATTGTTCTTAGCATTAAATAGAGTCATTTAGTGATGTTAACCATCATTGTCTAATCATTGTTTAAACTTTAAATATTGTCTTTCAATACTGTAAGCTGCCTTGGGTCTTTTTTCGGGAGAAAGGCGGGGTAGAAAATTAGAAGGAAGGAAAGACAATCTTGGATGTATGGACATACTCTGTGACCCATGTTACATTAAAATTCTCACATGGTCCAGCTAACTAGAGACAATGAGTGATTTGCCAACCAAGGACATTATTTATATAGAGCCATTGGTAGAGCACGTGCTTGCTCTGAGGAGTTTACCTAGCTATACAGTTTGAACTATGCCCTTGTAAAACATTATGTGGAAATGGAAGCATGGGCCCAGAGAAAGATCTGGAGAAAATTGCTAGAATAAGTATAATTTAATAAAACAGAGATAACTAACTGATAATCTGTGTGCACTATCTGGCTGACAATACCATTTTACCCAGCCCTCCATGATTTAACCTGCAGTGATCTCTTGTGTATAAAATAGACAATTTGGTTGAAATACAGTAAGAAGATTCTTCAAGGAGTGAAAAGTAGTGGTGAATCTGCCAATAGTAGCAGATTCAATCAGACAGTAGTATCTTGGCATTCTCACAATGTAGTGCCTTCGTATTGAATCCTACTGAATCTTTATCTGGAGGAAAAGTCCCTCCTATTGTGAGGAAACTGTGATGTTACAGCCAGACTTTGCCCAACTCTGGGTAGCTCTGCCAGGACAATATAGATTTGAGGCTTGGGAAGTTGACAATTCCTATCAGAAAACAAAATAAAATTAGAGACATACAGGCGAGGAACAGATAAAGAGTGTTGCTTACAGGCTGACTAAAGGGCTTTGGCTCTGAAGGTCTCATATGGAGGTGGGCCATCATTGCCTGGAGACGTTCACTCTCTTTAGCAAGCTGTAAAGAGAAATAAGGAAGAAGTCATTTGTTTGAAAAAGGTGGTTCCCCCATCAGTTCAATTTACTTGGCTCATATATTCAGAAATGTGAACAGGCTGACAGTTTACTTGACAGTCTTTGCCCCTGAATGGCTTCTTCTCCATCAGAAGAGGTCACTGACACCTCTTTTTGCTTGCTCTATTTCACCTCAGAGTGGACGTGCCATTCTCTTGTCTTCACTAATGCTTGCTGCATGCAGAAATGTGACAGTACAAGGCTGTTCCCTTTAGGTCTTGCTGAGCTGTCTTCCTAGGGCCCGCCATCCCTGGAAGCAAAAAACTGCCACCTTCTCTAATTCTCCACTAGCAGTGAATTTTTCTGAGAGCCACAAATCTAGGTAGGGTATCACATTTCCAGGCCTCTAAGAGCTGCCTTCTTCTATTCGATATCAGGATCAGGATGTGTGGTGGTGGTGTTTTCTGCTCTAGTGCATCTGCTGAGCAGTGCCACTGATCTCACTGTAAGGGACTGGGCTTCAGGTGCACAAAGACAGGAAAAGCTACTCCTGACAAAGAAGCCATATATCTGCATGCAGAACTTCAACATTCCAAAGCATCTTTCATCCATTATCTTTCTCTCGCACTCAGAGGTTCTCATTTCCATCCATTAAGGCCTATGCCCTGCTGTCTCCTCAGGTGTCAAATTCCCCACATTCCCAATCTGGCCTACTAGACTACTTGTACCATCTACCCCTTCTGCAATCCTTCAGGTCAGACCTCCACTTCTGCTCTCCTTTGGACGTGGGTCTTTCATTTTGTTACTGCTCCATCTTTTCAACATCTTTTTCCCTTCCCACAACTTCATTTTAGTCATCTATCACTCCCATCATGCCTTTCTCAAACCACGCGCTCACCTGCCTATCCATCTCTCCAGATGTGCAACATTGCTTTAATTGCATGCTCCTGGAGTGTGTGTTTATTTCTCAGTGTGCGGAGAAGGGTGAAATATTCGCTGTGGCACAGCGAGAGAGTTTGAGCGCTGCCGAAGCAATGGGATCTGACATCCTCTCCTTTGTGTCACCTTCTCTTTCTGTGTGCTCCCCTCAAACTTTGCCTCAGTTCCTCTCTGACCTGATGGGCCCCTATGCAGAATGTAGGACACACCCAAAGAGGGCATTTCTCTCCTTTTCCACATGGCCTAGAATTCTTGGACACAACAAAAGGACCTGAGGCCAGTGCAGCAGGAGTTAAAGGCAACATCCAGAGTGGAGTCTGCTGAAAGTTTGAGAAGCTCTGATGCAAGGATGCTCTGGCACTATTGCAGCTCTCATTAGAGCTGACAGATCCACTCTTGTGATGCAGACACTCTTGCTGCCGACACAGCAGGAGCTCTGCAGTGAAAACTTTATAATTAGGAGTTCTGGTGGCAGGTTCTCCTTTTCACACATGGAGTTTCTACCCCCTTAAAAAGAGTCTCTTCCCCACATTCCCCCTTTTAAGCTTCAGTAATTGCTTTCAAACTTTTGCTTTAGTGAGTGTTTGGAAACAGGACAGAATCATACGGTTTGACTAAGGGTATGTAACAATCTTAACTCTGTTCTCTGGGTGCTACATTCCTTTCTAATTTAATATTTTCTTTTGGCATGTCTCTACATTCTCTTCCAGGCACCCCATCTACAACCACAGATTTAGTTTAGTTTCCAACAGAGGCTGACTGCATTGTGTGTTATAGCTGGCTGGCTCCTTGGTACTCTCTTTCCTCCGCCACTAATCCTACTGCTACAGAGAGTCATGTTCCAGAGAATGGTGCTCCTTTTATCCTCATGCTGCTCTGCACATACACAATCTAACAACATGGAAAAAAGATCCCCTTGCTCCACTCAACTCCTCCAGAGTCCACCAAGAAAAAAAAAAAGGGCTAAAATTTGAGAACACTGGCAAGAGAGAAACAGAAATGCAGTTGTGTTCCCTGTTTATTTCCTATCGTATGCAATAATTACGGATCAATGAGCAAATGCTGCTTTACTGGTTATAGATACAACAATAACATTTAGCACAAAAGCAAAATCTTCTATCGCCATCCCTTACAATGTTCTCTTCTAATTTGCATGTTATGTCCTTGTTGTATATTTCTATAGTTTTTCTCAGCTTCAAATGAAGCACTTCAGGAACTGTGTGGCTGCCACTCCTTACATCAGCACTTCCTTTCCCTCCTGGCATTACTTGCTAACACAGAACATATGATATAATTCCACTATGCTGCAGATTCCACTGTTCTTCCCCTACTGTCACTTTGTGGGAATGGGAAAACAATCATCACACTGACATTACATCCTGAGTTTAGTTATGTATTACAGGACTGAGTGAAGCACAAATGCTGCTGCTTTTTTTACTTATTTCTTCTAATGCTAATTCTGGTATAGGACAGTCATTGACACATCTGTCAATATTCCTGCAGCGTATCTCTTTCTGTAACCATGGAACTGAACTTCCAGATTACAAGAATCTTTATATTATTCTGAGATTATCCTGCGCAAAGGCTGCCAATTTCAGCAGGCATTACAGGACTCATCTCTGATTGATTCAGGCGTCCAAGTTCCCCTTCAAAACTAAGGAGATGTAAAAAGAACAATGAAAGCCATAACCATCCCTGATCTGTCTGTGCTTTTTAGGCTGCATTATTCCTTAACACTCCAAGCATACCAGATAAAGTAGTGCATCAAGTGTTTAGTTTTACTGGCATTAAGCCTCTTAAAACACATTTCTCCACTGCAGGTTCCTTTTTGAGTTGATAGGTATGCAAAAGGTGAGAAAACTTGCTGCAGCAGAATTTGCTGTTGAGAAAACTTGTTTGAGGAAGTGTGAAAAAGCTTGCTGCAACAAAGCCTTAAACTACTAAGAAAATGTTCTTCCTAGATGTAAGCAATTCTCTAGCCCATCATCAGGCACACACCCACTGACAGGTGGAGAAATGAAATGTGAATTCAGTGGCACAGAGACAAGCCATGGTGACTGTCATCCTTTCAACAGTGAATCAAGTTCTTCTGTGAAATTGGCAAATGTTGGTGGTGTTTCTCCATAGAGTTATGAGGATACTCATGGCAGAGGACAGGTCAGGAATTTCTACAAAGGAAGAGGCTATAAAAATCACCTGTGGGAAATAGCCCTTAGATAATCTTAATGTAATCCTTACACCAGTATAAAAGGACTCCAAATTGGCCTATTATGCATACGAATGCACCTTGATCTTGCTACCATCAGACAGCTTCTTGATCTTCCTATGATTAAGGATTTTGGCTTGAACTAAATATAGTTAATAGCATGTATTAACACTCACCTGTATTTCCAGCTGCTGTACCACTTGCATTTGAACTCGACACTGAGCTGTACTCCTGTCATCAAGTGCATGTTCTGTATTGAGGTGTCTGAAAACAAAATATATCATGGTTTTATTGAATGAGCTCCTTTTATACCTTTTGCCCATTTATTTAAACTTTTTAAAATACGCTGTTTTAAAGATGCAATTCAGGCTCTGCTAGCTACGTAATACATTCTTCAAAAGATATTTATCATACTTCAGTCTTCTTCTGAAGGGCTTACAGCAATGCACATAAGGCTATCCTACTTTCTCCTCACACTAGGATAGACTATGCTTAGACAGGCCAGTTTGCTCAACGTCTCTGAATTACTGAGCATCATTACTGATCAGGAATCTGAGTTCACGATTTCGCAGTTCAGATCTAACACTATCCATTACTTCACAGTGGCAACATAAAGAGGAAGTTAAATGCCCTACAGTAATGAAATTATTCTATATTATAAGAGAAACAACCAGAAGGTTAGGTAGACGTCTGGAATTGCATCATGTAGATCGGTGAGAACAACAACATTCCTATGTCCCCAGTTTTTCTCACAGCATTTGTCTTCAGCCAAAACAGGTGGACACATCATGAATTTTATTTTATCTTTTATAACAGGAGCTTCTATGTATATTGCTTTTCCTGAACAAAACTCTCTCCATTTTAAGGCAGTTGCCACCAAGCTTAGATCTGTAACACAGATCTTTCTTTATCTATGTCAGAGAACTGCACAATTTAAAATTATGAGCATATATGAAATGCAAGTAAAATTAAAAACAAATTAAAATGTTCAGATAATCAGACTATTGTTGACCAGAACCAGGCTACTTCAACAGCGCAATCTCAGCCATTTGCTAAACATTCTTTCATTCACACAGTGGGAAATAAATTGCATGCACATAAGTGCTGGATTGATTTAACTTCTCCATAGTCACATAAAATTTATACCATACAGCACTACCATATTCTGCTGTGGATAGCACAGGGACAAAGCTGTTGTTCCTATTGCTTGTGGATGTGCACCCCAGTTTGAGCCAGCCAGTTTCCCGAGTGTGTTACTTCTGGCAGCAACTTTCTGTTTGGTGTTTAAACAATGTTTCTTGTAGGTCACGGTTCAATCCAGAGTGACACACAAATACTTTGGGGGTAGGGCAATGTTCCAAAATCTTGCCTTCCCAGCTAACTAGAGATGGACATGAGCTGTGATTCGGTGGTTTGGCCTGGCACCTGCACAGGTGTTCCACAGGCACCTTGCACTTTCCTCCTCCACCTCCTCTGCACAACTTCCCACTCACTGGCTGCAGTGCACTTTGCTCCTTTGCCTTCTCCACACGATTGTCCATTGAGACAAGGAGGCAGGACAGGGAGCCCATGGCACTGCGGGTGAGTGGACAATTGTGCAAAGAAGGCAGAGGAGGGAAGTGCGATACAGCCAGTGGTTGGGCAATCGTATGGAGGAAGCAGGGAAGGGAAGCATGCTGCAGCCGGTGAGTGGGCGATCACACAGCAGCAGAGGAGGGAAGTGTGTGGTGTCCATGGAACACCCGTCTGGACACCATGGTGAACCACAGTTCGTGTCCATTTCTAATCATAATGTTTTGATCGTACCAAGTTTAACAAAACTACAGCTAGCCTCAACTTCAATTTCCATTTCAAAGCTTGCACTTTTAAGCTGTAAATTTAAGTTTTTTTTTATGTCAGCTAAAGAATCAGATGGAAGCAATCTCGGGAATAAGATTCATTTTTGTCGAAAGGCCTTGGTTTAGTTATTAAGTAACATCATATGCACAGTTTCTTACTATTCTAAGTAATGTCAAGAGGGTGCTGGAAGAGCAGAATGTGCCTTTCTAATACTAGGAGGTTATTTGCAGACCAGAATTACATATAGCAGCTCAGGTGGAATCAATTCTGCATTTCGGGCTTTCCTCCATCCATATGCAGAAGGCTAGGGTGGCCTCTGAAGGAACACACAAGTGACCTGACCATCTGCCTCAAGTCTGTTGCTGTTGGCTAGTAACACTGATCCTTTGGTAGTGAAAGGCAAGTGGGGCTTGCAAGATTTGCTGAAATGCTTAGTTTACAGAAGGAAACCATACAAACATTGATTAGACACACAGGCTGTGCTTCCTAACAACTCCAACCATCATAATTTTCAACCCCCACCACATTCTGCTCAAAGGTAGTGGAGGGTGTATGTGGGGGGGATGAAACTGAGGAGACATAGAAGTGCATGAGGAGGGAGTGGGTAGCAATGTGTAGCAGAAAAGCACAGAAGGGGGGAAAATCCTGAACAAGAAAGAAAAGAAAACCCGTCAGTTTCATCTGATGTCTTTGCTAAAAATCTTGGCTACAAAGAGATCTAATTGCAAATGAACTAATTAAGTAAACCTCTGACGAAGCGTGAAAACAATTTGTTTGACCCTGACGCTAGCAGAGGGCTCTTAGACAGCGGAGTTAATCAGTCAGTGACAGAGCCCACAAGCGGTGTCAGCAGGCTGCCGTGCTGCCATCTGTTTCTCTCTAGTGCTTCCCCACCCCCTTTGCTTTTTCCTAACATGGACGAGCTATAAACTTTACAGCATGTCTCCTTTCTCCTCCAACTGCCTGATCATTTCTGTGGGTCCCAGGCAGCCTCTTATCCTTTAGCAAAGTTTTTCCTGCAACTACCTCACCCTCCTCCTTTCTATATTTCCCATGAAGCCTTGCAGCTCTGAGGATCCTCTGAGCAAAGTATATAAGAGGCCTCGTCCTATACCTAGCAGAAGAGGATCAGAGTGGCCTCACTATATTTAATGGTGGGAGAACTGAGGCACAAAGTATTCTGGTCAGTATTTCTGAATATAACAATGCCAGATGTCTCTACTTAAGTTCTAAGGAGATGGAGGTGGGGTGTGTGTATGTATACACTTTTAATCATAATAGGGCAACTGCTCAATGGATACCAATCTTTTTTGAAATACAATGCTCAACCATAATCTATTTTTTTTTTGCCAGTGGGAAGAAATCATCCTCATGCTCCCAATTCAGTAACAGCAACTCTTTCGTTTCTGTCCATGGTATGAGTGAATAGCAAAAAAGGAAGTTCAGGCTACATCAAAGAACAGAGAAGCAGGGAAAAGCCTGCCACACAGAAGGAAGTCACTTACTTGATAAACTGTCCCAAGTCCTCACAGAGAGTTTCACAACCAGGCCATTTGCACTCTCCGTGCCCATACAGAGGGTGAGAGGCAGGAGACTCCTCATGTGAAGAGCTGCAAAGGAGAGAGAAATCAAAAGAAACAGGTATTACCATGGAGCTGCTAGACAGCACTAACCCCGCCTGCTGGAAGTTTGAGCAGAACATTATCAGAGATGTAAATATCCAGGAAAAAATTCTGGAAAAGGGGCATTCCCCCCGCCTTAATCTTTCAAACCTCTCCTCCAGTCCAGAGATAAATTCTATATATTATCTGCTGTTGCCAGCCAAAAGGTATACCTGTTCTACATTCTCCTATAGATAGATACTCGTGCCATCAGTGGCACAGCACACATGTTAAATAAATGCAGTTGTTCTGACAGTTGTGGGTCTTCCAGGAAAGACAGACTTTAACCACAATAATCCATGCTCCCCTAGTATCCAGATTAGATTATTACAGTCTCAGTGCTCCACAGCCATAGGTGGTCTGAACCATAATTATAAGGGAATGTATCTCAATAGTGTTTAAAGATTGTCATGGGCTATACTTTTCTCTCTGGACACAACTCGAAGTGCTGATGCTAATCTGTAAGGCTCTAAGCAGTGTGGGTCTATTGGAACTGACCATTTTAGAATCTATTTTCATAGTTTACCCAAATATGGATACCTTCTTCACTTTCTGGGGTGAGATAAATGGTTACTAGGCCTTCCAGATATTGGATCCTTACCTGCAAAAACTTATCTCCATGGCAGCAACTCCATGGCAGCCTTTAGATATACAGTAAAATTTATTTATTTTCCATGGCTTTTAGTGTAACTGACTAATCCTGACATTGTCTTATTCCACTCTTGGTTTTCATTTATTAGGTTTTAGTACAGACCAATTGTTTGGTTTAATCTTTTCTAAAATATATCACAACTTGTCGCTGAAGCACAATTGAAATTTTTCAGTATGGGCATGTTGAATACAGTGGACCCTCGACTTACAGACAGCTCGACTTACAGACTTTTCGAGTTACAGACTTCTCTGGCTGCAAAATTTAGATTCGACTTGCAGCCGGAGAATCGACTTACAGACCAGAAAAAAACCAAAATGGAACAAAAATAGAATAAAAACTGCCAGTTGTGGGATTAATCAGTTTTCAACGCATTGTAGGTCAATGGAGATTCGACCTACAGACTTTTCGACTTACAGCCACCGTTCCAATACGGATTAATTCCTTAAGTAGAGGGTCCACTGTACATAATATTTTCAAAATGTAATTGAAACAGTTTTACTGTGAAAGTTGCTTATCACCAAGTTATACAAGAACTGTAAAACAATCTACCTGTGCATCTGCTCTTGACAGTTATTTGCATGACTCTAGCAGGCTCACGCAGGATCTTACCTAGAAAGACACTGTAGCCTAGATCTAATTGCTAGTTGAAACCCCCAAGTAGGTTCAGGTATATATCTTGGGCTAAAGATCGTACTTTCATAGCTGTATATCCAATTCTGAGATATACAGAATCAAATTTTAACAATGTCTTTATGGCACTATGCAATGATAATGTACAGTGGTGCCTTGCTTAGAGATTGCCTCATTTAACGATGTATTCGCTTAGCGATGAGGTTTTTGGAGCGATCTTGCGCTCCGTTTAGCGATGTTTCCAATGGGGAAATTTCGCATAGCCGATGTTTGGGACCTTGCTTTGCTTAGCGATGACAATTTAGGTCCCCCTGTTTCGCTTAGCGATGTTTTTGACAGCTCCGTTTTCGCTATTTTTAAAATGTGCTAAATTGTTTAAAAAGGATTTAGAGTGCTTGAAATCGTTAATGCACTTAATAAACCCTTTGTTAACCAAATTTGGCTTCATTCTGACTCTTTTTGAATTTTTGGTGATTTTTTTCCTCCCCCATTGAAATGCATTGAAAAGGTTTCAATGCATTCCAATGGGGGAACCGCGTTTCGCTTAGCGATGTTTCCTATGGCGATTTTCGCTTAAGGACAGTAATCCGTTCCCATTGGAACGGATTATCCGGTTTTCAATGCATCTCTATGGGAAAATGCGTTTTGTTTAGTGATGTTTTCCCATAGCGATGAATTTTTTGGAACCAATTAAAATCGTTAAGCGAGGCACCACTGTATATTTTTACCCAACTGTGCAAGCATGAACACTATTCAGCAATCAATTAGCAACATGTATGCTGTTCCAGAAAGTGGTGCCTCGCATAACGAGTGCACCGTTTAACGACAAATCCGCACAGCGATCTATTTTTTGCGATCGCTAATGCAATCACATTGCAATGTTTTGAATGGGAAAACATCGCATTGCGATGATCGGTAAGCATTTCGCTTACCGATCTTTGCATTGCGATATTTTTAGAACAGCTGATCGGCTGTTCCAAAATGGCCACCGGGTGCCCAAAATGGCCGCCGCAAGCATTTTCGCATGGTTTCCTCGCTTACCGAGGCGGCGAAAATGGCGGCGCTATGGAGGATCTTCACTGAACGGTGAGTTTTCGCCCCATAGGAACGCATTAAATGAAGTTTAATGCGTTCCTATGGGTTTTTTAGTTCCGTTTAGCGATGTTTCCGGATAGCGACGATTAATCCAGAACGGATTAATGTTGCTATGCGGGGCACCACTGTAATCTGGAAATTATTAATGTTTAATTAGTAATTAAACAATATACTGTACTGATATATTAAACAGATGAATTAAACAATGCTTTTATAGTGATAAACAATACAAGCACACTCATGAGTCACCTGTACCTTATAATCCAATTTTTGTCCCCAATAAGCTTTCACCAAACTTCCGTTGGGCAGAAAAATCACTCAGAAGATTGAAGTAGTAGTTCCTGTGCATATCTGCCTTAACAGTGCTGCCAGGTGGCTGCAACTGCCTAGATTGGAGGCATTCATGCAGAACTTCCTATTTCTACAACATAAATCTACATGCTGCTTCTTGCTGGCTCTTGTCAGCAGACATACATACTGTGTGCTTACCGCAGCCACATTTTTTTTACTAACATGGGACTGTCCCAGGGGAAAGTCTCAGCCTTCAGCAGGATCTTTTATATACTTAGTTGTTTGCTGGAGTGTCCAAACAGGGCTGGGAAGCTGCTGACTGGACACTCCCAATAGCCCAACATCTATATTATCTTCCTGATATTAATGAACACGAATAACTATTGGTGGCCCAATGGAAAATTTCAGATTTTATCTTCACCAGTACCCCCTTCCCCCCAAAACATCAGATAACCCAACAAAGAAGTGTCAATTGAACAAGGAAATCCATTCAGCTACACAGTTCCATTTTTTAAATAGCTACCATGCTGCACGTCTTACATTTATGAGCTCAGGTTGTAACTATTGAGACATGCTAGATTTCCTTACTGAAAATCCCTCCTATTATGGTTTCAACAGCTCTACATGTCACTGAAAGCAGGTCCAATCACATGATTCCATATCCAGAATGTGAAAAGTGCTCCAAACATTTAAATGCAGTGGACAGGACTAGACTCTAGGGCTCCTTCAATCATCAGTGTTCAGCAATGATTCTCAGTCAATGGGCGAGTCCAGTAAGGAAAAAGTAATTACATCTATTACTGTCTTTGCCTCAGCTTAACTGCATATTTCTCTGATGCAGTAGTGTATCTATTATCTCTCCTTTACTTTTACTTCTTGAGTGACCTTGTAGAGTTCACTATGTATGGATAATCCTCCATTTACCAAATCGCCCACTTCCTTGTTGCCAATACCAACTTCCCTTCCCAAATGTTGTCTACATTTCCAAATACATTAATTTGTTCTTGTATGACATGTTTTCCATTTGAAAAATAATTATTATGGGATTTGGGTTTGATGGAGAGCTTGAGATTTTTATATTTGTCCAACCAAAGCATATGTTTATAAAGGGTTGAGAAACACAGCAGTAGAATTTGACTCAGTAAACCACAGGGTCTATTGTGAGATACATTCTCCACCCATTACAATTTGACATCCTTTACAAATAAATGCCCATCAGCTTCTACCTGTCCCTCCTTTGTGCGAGCATGGCGTTCTGTCCATTGGGGAGAGGGTGATGGGAAATTGGAGGAGAGACCTTGGCAGCTGAAAATGAGGTAGAATTGGAGGTGCTGAGGTCAAGTCCCTCTTGTTTGATACTGTCTTCTACAGGCTGAGTAGCAGTAACTTCTTTCCACAGCTGCTGAAGGTCTGAGGGACACACAGCTTCACATGTTGGGGAGCACAGAAGTAGAAAGCAGATGGGGGGAGGAAAGAAAAGATGCAAAAATCACAAATTTTCAGAATCCATGAAAGGCAAAGTTTCTTATTTAGTCATAAAAAGAGCTAATTCATATTACTGTAGTCTTCAGCCTACTGCCAGCTCTGCTCCTGACTATCCATGTGCACTATTTAAGTAATCAGAATTGTGACAGCTGAACATCTCACAGGGTTTAACATATTTCAGTGCAGAAATAGTGCTACTTCAGTCTTCTGTGGTGTACAATCAGAATCTCAGTAATTATCACTGGTTTATACATTACAGTGTAAAAATACACATTAAGGATCACTGAATAAGTAAGACAAGCTATCTCAGTGGAGCCCAAGTATATACTTTCACCTAAGAACATAAACAACACCTTGTTTTATCACTTTCATTTACCATTATTTACAAAATTTTCAGCAGCAGAGGCTATTCCACATTCTACCCATCCCTGACAATGAATGTTATACTCCTTTCAGAAAGAAGGCAAATTAAGCTAAAGTGATGCAGTTTTGCACTTCACTAATAATGTTGTTTGGTCTTTCTTCCCCCCCAGTTTGCCTAGTAGGAGAACATAGGGACCCTGCAATGTTGTTGAACTACAACATCCATCAGCCTCTAATCCACTCCATATAATGATGGGGAATCAGATAAATTGTCTGAAGCCACGGAAGGCAACAGGTGCCCACATACACCGAGTTTCTGGAACATGGTGGGTTAATCAACAATATAAAATGCAATTTCCCGCTCCATCCAAGATCCTGTACAAGACTGAGCAATGTTATTAGTATCAAATGTAATGTACAGTATAAGATCTTTGAAATCCATTCTCACCTGAAACACTGAACACTTCATGGCTACCAGCACCAAAGCTTAGAGACAGAGTCAACAATTATCCCTAGAACTATCATTCTAGATTTAGCACAGGAGCCCTTCACACAGGATTAGCATTGCTACGAAGATGAGTGAAGCTCTCATCTCTGGTGGAAGCAAGTTAGGGCAGTAACTCTGTCAATGCTGGCTGGATCACCCTCCCAAAGGGATGCCGGTGGCAGTTGGCTATTTTATGAGCTGGCTATTTTTTCAGTGCCTAGTTCTCCTTAGAATCAAGGCACTATGGAAGGGGTAGCCAGTAAAATTGTCCATGGTGCAGGTAAATTTCCAGCTCATTTTTCCTGCAGCGCCATGACTGTGAACCAGAAAGGGATTAAAGAAACATCTGGATTTTAACCAAACTGGAGTCTTGGAAGGTAGCATATATCATCCTGTCCTTGTTTTTATATGGGACTGCCGTCATCATATATCTACTTAGCTGCAAAAGTTGTCCACCCACCATAGGCTTGCAAGGGAACAAGCTGCTATCAATGTGCCACTAATCCCTGCTGTCTCCTCCCTTTTTAAAATATATATATATCATGGAAGTAGGACTTGTCTTGCATGAGAAATGCAAGCTACCCATCACTACCTCTTCCTCCTCTTCTGATAATGGTGGGAAAAGTACCACCTTCTTCAGCAGCAAGGCATAATAAGCAGCATACCGTGCTGCTATGTGTTCATGCAGTAAGAAACTGGGTTGATGATGTGCTCTCTGTGCCTCTGTGGACAGATGGTTGTCCCCTTTGCAAGGTTAAAGTAGCATGTTGCTTCACACAGGCAGCAGGAGAGCTTATGCCCTGAATTCACACCTAACCACTAAATAATGGATAATATTCAGTGTCACTTGCTGGCAGCAGGAGTCAGACAATATAGGCATTTAATGAATGCCACTTGTTTCACTTACATCCTTTTAACTTCCACTTGAGATCAAAAGTATTTATGAAATTTAAGTCCTTGTGTTCTTACCAACTAAAAGCCACCTGACTCATGAGATTATTAGCCACATGAGGCAACAGGAATTTTCCTTTACTGAAGACATTTTGTTTCTTAAACTATGTCAACTTGGCTAATGCCTATTTGGAACTTGCCTCAGCAGGTATGTGAATGAGAGGATTAATTTCATCTTCTGACAAGTTATGGTTTGATCTTGGGGAATATGAGCCACATTGAGAGTCAGATTTGTGTAGATGTCTCCTTTGATATAGCTACACGGAGAATCTTGAAGCTTTCAATTATGGTTTAGATTAACCCCAGTTTATTTCAGCCAAACCCACACACTATGATGTATCTTAACTACAGTTTATTGGAGATTAAACCAATTTCAACTATGAACCCACAGTTTAGGGTTCAGATAAAATATTACACTATGATTGATTTAAATTGAAAGCAAAACCTTCCAATGTGGCCATGTCATAGGAAGGGAGCAAGGAATCTGACTCACCACTAACATCAGTACGTTTTAGAAATCTGTTGGTAACCAGATTTATAAGTTTAGAACAATTCTCACACCCAAAGGTCAATTCATGTATTAAGACTTAGATATACAGGAACATACAAGTAACACATAAAGTAAGATTTCCATATATAAAAAGCATTATATTTGAAATCATCTGAAGAATCTGTCTTGACATAGCAAAACATTGTTTCAGCAAAACAAAAACAAACATACATACATACAAACAAAAAACCACCTAAAACCTGCTAAGTTAGTAAGATATACTGTATTTGGCTAATGTTCTTGAATGCCTAGCACTATTATTATATTCTATTTTCCCATAAATACTGTACTCTGGAATATAGGAGTGTGTTAGTTCATTCTCTTCTATGTTAAAATTATGCCAAACTCAATCAGAGTATGAAACATATTAGCTAACTATCAGTCCCTCAACCTAAGAGAGGAGGTAACAGTGCTCCATAAGTGGGAAAAAGCAGAAAAGAAAAATGAGATTTGCTAATTACTATAAAGCTGTTGCTTATTTTCTGTTTTATTTTTCTGTGCATGCCTAGTACTATGTACTATCTAGTATTAGTTAGTGAGTGCCAGGAGAATATGAATTTCATGCTAAAGAATATAAGAGGTATTCATTTTACGTAGACAGGAATATTAAATTTCATAGCACAGTAGCACTTGTACTGCTCTTTAGATGATTAACTCTTAAGAGTAAATTGCTCCTTTCATATTTGCATTTGCAATACTTCTTCCCCAAAGGATAGGCATGGGCCGAGTTCTGATCATCAAAGGGATGGAAGATCAACATTTTAGAGGAATACCTGACCTTCAACAACCTTTCCATCTCCAAAATTCTCAGGTATTTTGACACAGAATGAATCCTTGGATAAGGCGTGGGGGGACGACTACCACTATCAACAATACTTAAGTTCTGGTTTCAGCTCCTCCCCCATGCACACAGCACAGATCTACCCATTCAATAAAGTGGATCTCAACATGTTTAAGGGACTATATTTCAGCATGAGCTAGGCTGAGTATCTTAAGGCCAGGTGCTGTTGTTTTCTTTAAAGACTGCCTGTCTGAAAGAGAGAGGCGTAAGGTCTCTACATAAAGGAAAATCTACTTTGTGCACAAATCCTTATTTTCAAATGAAGGTAGCAGCACTGCACTGGAGCTTCTAGTGGCAGGAAATTGCAGTGTTTTGCATTAAAGGCGAATAACAAAATATTAGGCCCTGGCTTTCTCTTGTTAACATCAGCAACACAGCTCCAAGGTGCTCCCTGAACAGAAGCTGCATCACATACATTACATTCTGGTCTAATAATGTTTTGTTGATGTATGTTTTATAGCACAACTGAAAGCACACCAGATGTTAGGCCCCAAATGCATTGAAAACATCCAGCTTCTAAAATTAACAGACAAACAACTAGCTATGCTAATTGCTGCTCTGGAGGGGCAGGTTATGCCCTACAGCACTTAAAGAGCAAGGAAGCGTATGTGCATTACCTTGTGGAAGGGTCTGCAGAGGAACGGTGCCTTGTCCTGGCTGTAAATTGACCAGCCCTTGTCGCTGGAGGTTTAACAGGTGCTGCTGCTGCAGCTGCTGCATCTGCAGTAGCTGTTGTTGGAATGCCAGCTGCTTATTCCCTAATGGCTGCTAGAAGACAAAAGGAAAAAATCAGAACGCATTATTTTCAACCCTGGAGCAGAGGCCTTCCGGAATTCTCTAGGGTCTTGCATAAGCAGCCCAATCCCAGCTTTAGCCTTGCTTGCAGCCAGTACAGCTCATAGTCCTGATCTCTGGTCCTCAGTGGCCACACAGCATATAACCAAGACAGAAAGCCTTTGATCTATCTGAGCAGCAGAACGAAGGGAGGGTGGCGGAAGAGAAGAGAGCGAGGCTGCTTGGCAGAGCACTGAAAATGCTGAGTCTCTCTGTCAGATGAGCAATTCTACGAAGCCTATGTGAATCTGAATTGCGCATAAAGAGAATTTAATTTCTCAGCCACATCCACCTACCCTAAACATATGTGGATTAAGTTGCTACAAGTGACAAAAGGTAACTTGCATACACGAGTATGGTAAAGGTAAATCAGTACTGTCTGAGCAATGCTTAATCCTGAAACTGGAATACTCAGGACCTGAGTTCTCCTGGTGATCTCAAGGATTTCTGAAAAAGGCCTATTTCATGCTATTGACAGAAGTGAGCATTTAATTATATGAATTCAGTTCATGCACTGCACCCCTTGGGGGGGAAGATTTACAGATCTGGTGATTTATACAAGGCTTAAGAAAAGAAACATTTACAGAATTTGCCACAAAATCCTATCATAATTACACAAAGGAAATTAAGGGAGTCCATTCATTACAAATATAATACAAAAAGAGTTAACCTAAAGAATGTGGCAGGGATGTTGGCAACTCTTTGGGTTCGAGTCCCAAGTCTGAGTCTTTGGTATCAAGTACAAAGTCTGAGTCTTTGGTACCAAATCCTGAGTCCCAAGTCCAAGTCCCTATTAAAACCAAACTTTTTTCTCCACAAAAAAGGGAGGGGTAGGTGGGTTCCAAGTTGCAATCTGAGTCACTGAATAACAAAGAAACAAGCGTGAATCGAGTCAGAGTTGAGTCACCAGAGTGACTTAAGTCTGATTTGACAGTGAGTCTCATGACTCGACACAGGGACATGGTGGCACTGCGGGTTAAATCGCAGAAGCCTCTGTGCTGCAGGGTCAGAAGACCAGCAGTCCTAAGATCGAATCCACGCGACGGAGTGAGCTCCCGTCGCTTGTCTCAGTTCCTGCCAACCTAGCAGTTCGAAAGCATGTAAATGTGAGTAGATAAACAGGTAGCACCTCAGGGGGAAGGTAACAGTGTTCCGTCTCTAGTCGCGCTAGCCACATGATCACGGAAACTGTCAATGGACAAATGTTGGCTCTACGACTCGGAGACAGAGATGAGCACCGTGCCCTAGAGTCAGACACGACTGGACTAAACGTCAAGGGGAACCTTTACCTTTACCTCATGAGTCGAGTCCCCATCCCTGGAATGTGGATGTAATCAATTTCAGTCATGTAGAAATTAACAGCATAAAAAAATCTTCAAAACCAAGTACTTCAGCTTGGCTGGCTTTTAGACAAAAATTCACAATAGCACCCCCATAACATCTATATGTAATGTATCCTTTGGCTCACAACACCAGTTAGCCCATAAGTTTCAACAGAAGGAATAAGGGTTCCAACCTGTCCATGCTTTCATTAAAAAAAAAATCAAGGTAGTTTAAAAGAAGATAGGCAAATAAAGGTGGTTATATTCCAAGAAAAATGGTTTTCATACCAGATGATAATTCTGAATTCTTGTTGGTAGTAGTGATGCAATGGTAGTGGTAGTAAAATAATTAACATAATGATTTTTCTGTGGGTCATAATTTAAAGTTTTATTTGGAAGATAATTTGTTCACATCTGCTTGAGGAAGAAATGTTTATTATATTGAAGTGTTTCTGGAAAACTGCTGATAATCAGTATCTTAATTTAACTAGTTTAATGCAGGCCTGGAACTGTGGGAAATCTAATCTGACAAAGGGTAACTAACTCAAATGGATGAAGGCACGTAGGATGCACATAACTTGCCAATCTGGGTCTTTTGCTGGCTAAATGAGATATCACCTTGGCATCCTATATACACCATTGTGAGTTACACAATAGAAGGAGGGTAGAAAATAAATAAAAAGGTATTAAAGAGTAAAGATGTTATCATGGATATCTTCAAAGAACTAACTCTTCACTTTACCATTGCTGTCTACCATCACTGTTTAACACATCTACTTTATCCTTGTTAACATTTCTGCACTGAAGTGCTTAGTTAAGTGGAAATCACACCAAAGCCTAAATTTAAGTGCAACTGGTATTGTATATTTGTCTCAAAAGAGAGCAATCATTTGCACAGCTACTCAGGGGAAATCCCACTGAATCTGTGGAGCTTACCCGTGATTTAATAGTACAAGTCTGCAGCCCCTAGACATGATAAATACATATCTAAAGAACTAGTTAATTATCTAAGAAGGAAAAACAAAGCAGACAGCAAAAGAGAAATATGAATGAACAACCACAGTGCAATAGGAGCGTCAGGAGGTATCTGAACCTTTGTGAATTTGTTTAATAATGAAAAGAGGCACAGTTCTATTACTGTAACCTATCAATCACGTAGACTTTTGCCTTGTAGCTCTCTCATGAATGGCTTTTAATCAGGTTTTCCACATCATTTTAGGGATAAATATAAAAGTAGACTTGCTACTATAAATTACTTCATATCCTCCCCTACTCTGCCCATGGACAGCACATTCTCTTCTTTGGGCCACTTTTGTTTGCTTCTTTGGTCTGGAGTTATAACACTAAGATAATATTCCATTATTGAAGGAGGATCCCAAATCTGTTACTCCCATCACCTTTGCTTGTCTGCTATTAGTTGTTTCACCCTTACACTTCAAGGAGGGCCTCTGTCACTTTTGCTTCCTGCACCTTAGCTCTAGGTGAGCTTCTCCTGTTAGCTTCTTCTCTCTGCAATCTGGTACTCTTTAATTCCAACCATTGTTAAAGCAAAGCCAACACTGCAAACTCTACTTAACAGGCAGCAAAGGTGACAATACCGATTTATTTCTTTTGTAAACCATGTTATCATACTTGACAAAACATTTTGAAAAACACATTTATGGCCCTTGCTCCCCATTATCCTTTTGACATTATCTGTTCCCCCAGAGTCACTCTGTGCCTTCTAATCAATAGACAAGAGCATTTAAAAAGCAGACCAAGATCCATGCTCAGCTGAGTCTGAAGAGGCCTCAAAGATACAAGAACCGGGAAAACATGGGACAGATTAAAAACCAAAAATGTTAATGTTCTCCATCTTAAATGCACACATTCAGCAGCCTTTTGCAGAGCAGAACAGAACAGATCATTCAACAGTATGACTGCATCAAGACAAGTCCATTCATTTTGGATCTGGGAGGAATTCCTAACTAATGAATCACCAAGGATTCTGGCTCAGCTGAGGGGCATCAAAACTGGGAAGAGAATTGTCTACAGGCTGCATTGCCCTCAGAAAAGCAAGTAGTGGTTAGTCATTCACGTTAAAGCGTTTTATGGGTGTGAGAGATGCTTCCTGAGTGGCTTGCAGGGGAGGGAATTCATCCCATCTGCAGCAGCACTGTACTCCCTGAAGTTTGCTTTGCCCTCTCCCTTGTCTCCTCCCTCCCCAGAAGGCTTTTCTGAGAGCACAGGTTTCTGCCTGTTACATCAGAGGAGTGGAACACTGCCCCATTCACTCAAATTCAGCCATAAAACAAAAGGAAATTGGGAAGGGATTAAGTCATTACAATTTCTAAGGCATGTTGTTTCATCTCATAACTTAACAATGTTCAGTAATTTTTCTTAGTTACTTGTTGCTGAATTTGAGTAGTAGCTCCTGGGGGCTCTAGATTACAAAAGAAGAGAAGGCACAAAACCATTCCTCTGAATCCATGATTTTCCTACAACAGACCATTCATCTTGCGGATCAATTATTTCTTACAATAACCAGAGCTATTCCACCAAAGGTCTTTCCCTAAATGGGATGCTCCCTCCAAATCACACACAGGAAACATACATTCCAAACTATAACCACACATGAACCTTACTCTTGGTCACTCTCAATAAACTTAACTCTTTTAGATTAGGCATCCTTCAGTCTCAAGAGACTATGGTAACGTGCTCTGTATGGAGGACTTGGAACAGTGTCATGGCCAACGCTTGCTGGAGTCTGTTATGGTCTTTGTGTCAGCAATGTGTTCTTTAATACGAAGCTTCAACATAGAGTTTCCTGGAGACATCCAAGATCGAAGCATTGGCATCAGCTCAATTTGATCCTCACTAGATGTTCTAGCCTTCCTAGTATTAAGATCACATGCAGCTACCCGAGTGCCGATTACGATACTGATCACTCCCTGGTGTATAGTACAGTAAAACTGCAAGCAAAGAGATTGTATCACATGAAAAAGGAAGGAAGACCACGTATTGATATCAGCAAGACTCGTGATCAAAGAAAAGTGGAGGAATTTGTCCAAGCGCTTGAGGAAACCCTTCCAGGCCTGGCTGATGCAAATGCACCTGAACAATGGGAACATTTCAAGAACGCTGTTTATAACACTGCCTTGTCCACATTTGGCAAAAAGACCAAAAAGATGGCAGACTGGTTCGACTGCCAGCCATCGAGGATAAGAGGAGAGCTCTAGCAGCGTACAGAGCCTGTCCTAGTGAGTACAACTTGCAGGCTCTTTGAACTGCTCGTAGCCAAGTCCACCAGGCTGCCAGGAGCTGTTCCAACGATTATTGGCTTCAGCTCTGCTCTCAGATACAGACAGCAGCGGACACTATTAACATCAAGGGAATGTATGATGGTATCAAGCAGGCTTTAAGTCCAATACAGAAGAAATCTGCTCCCTTGAAGTCTGCTACTTCGGCATGATCATGCAGGACCGAGCACAACAGATGGAACGCTGGGTGCAGCACTACTCTGAGCTATATTCCAGAGACAACGTAGTAACTGAAGAGCCATGAAATAACATGGAGTGCCTGCCTGTCTTGGAAGAGTTGGACAGCCAACCAACTTTAGCAGAAATAAAA